AGGTCTCTACTTTGCCTCTTACTAACACTTCTGATACCTCGCCAACTATTTCCTCTCCAATTCCTACTTCCCCTGCTCCTCTTCTTGTTTATTAGCGCCGCAAAGCACTTTCGAGCTCGCCTATCTCTAGCTCTATTGTCCCTCCAGCTATTTCTTTGGATCCTGCTCCTCCTGCACATCGCTTTCTAAAGCGAGACCGTCATCCTCCAAACCGGTATGGTTTTGGTAATACATGTTTTTCCCTTTCCTATCAGTCTTTTCTTTCTTGTCTTCATACTTATTTTGAGCCTAGGTGTTACAAGGAAGCTTGTTATGATCCCAATTGGATTGCTGCCATGAATGACAAGTTAACTGCTTTGGCTAACACTTAGACTTTGGATTTGGTGCCATTACTTGCTGGCAAGAATATTGTAGGCTGTAAATGGGTCTATAAGGTCAAAACCCTTTTTGATGGTTCTTTGGAACGGTACAAAGCTCGTTTGGTTGCCCAGGGCTTTTCTCAAGAGTATGGGATTGATTATGATGAGACTTTTGCCCCCGTTGCCAAGATGACTATTGTTCGCACTCTTATCTCAGTTGCTATTGCCCATCACTGGCCTTTGTTTCAACTAGATGTCAAAAATGCTTTCCTGAATGGGCATCTTGCTGAAGAAGTGTATATGCGCCCTCCACCGGGTCTATCTCACACTCCTTGTGTTGTTTGTTGTTTTCGCCGTGCTCTATATGGTCTCAAGCAGTCTTCTCATGCTTGGTATGAGCGATTTCACTCTGTTGCACTTCAGCTTGGTTTTTGCCCTAATCATCATGATTGTGCTCTCTTTGTTCGGTGCACTTTGTTGGCCTTGTTCTCCTTCTCTTATATGTGGATGATATGATCATCATTGGCTCTGATTATAGTACTATTGAGGAGGTTAAGCATCAGTTGTTTCAGGAGTTTGGAATGAAAGATTTGGGGTCTTTTCAGTATTTTCTTGGTATTGAGGTTGCTACTTTTCCTACTAGGTATCTTCTCTCTCAGACTAAATATTCTCGAAATATTCTTTCTCATGCCAATCTCACTGATGACAAAATTGTCAACACTTCTTTTGAGTTGCATGCTAAGTTTTCTGCTTCTGATGGTGTTTCTCTTGAGGATCCCACTTTGTACCGCGAGTTGGTTGGGTGCCTTGTTTATCTCACCGTTACTCGTCCGGATATCTCCTATAGTGTGCACATTATCAGTCAGTTTGTTTCTGCTCCTCGTCCCACACATTGGGCTGCCTTACTTCGTACTCTGCGTTACCTTCGTTGTACTTTGTTGCAATGTCTGTTGTTATCTGCCTCTTCGGACTTGACTCTTCGTGCCTATGCTGAAGCTGATTAGGCAGGTGATATCTATGATCGCAAATCCACTTTCTGGTCTTTGTGTTTTCCTCGGCGATTCTCTCATATCTTGGAAGAGTAAGAAACAATCTATTGTTCCTCGTTTCACCGCTAAGGCTAAGTATCGTGCCATGGCACATGCTACTTCCGAGATCGTTTGGCTTTGGTGGCTTCTTTCTGATATGGGTGTCTCTCTTTCTGATCCGACTCCATTATATTGTGATAATCAGAGTGCTGTCCAGATTGCCCATAATTCAGTCTTTCATGAACGGGCCAAGCATGTTGAAATAGATTGTCATTTTGTCAGACAGCATCTTCAAACTGATACTATTACTCTCCATTTTGTTCCCTCCTCTCTTCAGTTGGTTGATTTTTTTACAAAGACTTACGCTGTTGCTCGTTTTCGTTTTTTTCTTGGCAAACTTTCGATGTTTTCTGCGCTCGCATCTTCAGTTTGAGGGGGGTTGTGAATTATGGTAGTTTATATTATTCATTAAGAATAGTTTAGTCCTTTAGGTTGTTAGGGTTTGATTCTCTTAAATTATATATATTTGTACTCATTTAATTGATCATTTAATTAATCAATAAACAAGTTTGTTATCACACTCAAAGGTTTGTTTATGATTCATATATAAATATATTCTTCACTAACTAATTGCATAATTACATAATATTACAATGCATTAAGATCATGACAGCTTATTTTAATGTACATATCAACATTCAAAATGAGTTATATTATATATAACCAAACAACAGTTGGCCATGTAAATGCAGGACACAGTGATGCTTGGTGCTGACTACTATAAAACTGATGTTGAAGTTGCAGCACTGGTAGTAAAGGGAAGAGTTTCTATTGGAATAGGAGAAAATACAAAAATCAAGTATAGAACAGTTCCTATTAGATCGATTTGGGGTTGGGTGTGAACGTATATGCGAATGGAAGAAGACATAGAGAGGGAGACAGAGAGATGCAGAGAGAGAAAGAGAGAGAGAGAGATCGACAGAGAGGGAGAGAGACCGAGAGTGATAGAGAGAGAGACCGAGATCAACACACACACACACATACACACACACACAGAGAAGCTTTTTCTTTGAGTGAGAGAGGAGAAGCTTTTTCTTTTAGCTTAATCGTGCAGCTACCATTTGAGGGGGAAAATGACTTAAATGCCTCTTACAATTTCAAGTTATTACAAGTGTGCCATGTATATAAACCAAAACACACTCATTTCTGTCTCTCACACGAACCAGAGAGGCGATTTCCGGCGAAGTGAGATGATTTCTGGTTCTATCTCTCTCTCACTCACAAACCAGTGCTCTCTTTCTTTTTCACACTCACGAACCAGAGCTCTTTTTTTTTCTCTCTCTCTCTCTCTCTCTCTCTCTTTGCAATCGAGCTTCCGTGTCTGCGATCTGAGAGGCAAAACCCTAACCATCGCGATCTGAAACCCTAGAGTCACGATCGACTGCGTGACGATTGACGGTGACGATCAACCGTCTGTCGTTGTCCCCCATTCCCTATCGTCGCAATGCCTTCGACGGTGACGATCAACGATCAACAACCAACGTCGTAGCAACCCATTGCTACTTTGTCGCCATCGCCGTTGTGTTACCATTGCTGAGCTTCTCTCTTTCTCTCTCACGATTTGAAACCACATCACGATCTGAAAAAAATAGTGATGATGATAATGACGATGACGATCGACGGCGTGACGATCTTGCAGACCACCGACTGTGGCTGGGGTTTTGCAATTTATATCCATTAAATAAATTTCACAATTTATTTCACAATTAATATGGATATAAATTGCACAATTTAAATAAAGAAATAAATTGCACAATTTATTTCAATCAAATAACTTCTATTAAAAGAATTTTATATTGATATAAAATTCTTTGGTAATGTAATAAATAAATAAATAAAACAATTGTTGCTAATTGATATTAATAAAAAAAAAAGAAATAAATTTTATTAAATGAAATAAAAAAAAGAAATAAATTTAGCCATTAATGAAATAAATTTTATATTAATTGATACTAATTAATAATTTTAGTATTAATTGATGCTAATTAAGCCATTAATGGACACTAATTAATTTATAATGAAATAATTTTACACTAATTGATACTATTAATGAAAATAATAATTTTTGTAATACTAATTATATTAAATTTTATTAATGGAATAATTTTTTTAGAATTAAAACTAAAAAAAATGATAAAATAATCATTTTTATATCATATAAGGGCAAAAAGGACAATTACATAGTAAAAAAATTATTTTATAATTTATCAATCAAATACTACTCTGCTATTTAAATTTATAATCTCACAACTGCACTAAACAATTAGGGTTTGTTTGGTAACACTTACGTTTTCAGTTTATATTTACAAAAATTTTATAAACTGGTTTTTGTTTATTTTTAGAAAAACATAAACTACAAACGCGTTTGGTTTTGACAAAATGTTTGAAATTTTAAAAAATATAAACTAAAAGAGTGAGAAATGGCGAGTGGTAACGTGGCGGGTGGTGGCAGCGGAAGACGGTGGTGGCGGGTGGGTGGCGACAGAAGACGGTAGTGGTGGGTGATGGCGACGGAAGACGATGATGGCGGGTGATGGGTAATAGCGGCAAGTGGTGGGTGGTGGTGGCAGAAGACAGTGATGGAGGGTGGTGGCGGAAGACGGTGGTGGAAGGTGGTGATGGCGGAAGATAATGGTGGAAAGTAATAGCAGGTGGTGGCAGCGGAAGACGGTGGTGGAAAGTGGTGGCAGATGGTGGCAGGTAGCGGGTGGTGGGTGGTGCTGGCGGAAGACGGCGGTGGAGAGTGGTGGCAGGTGATGGGTGGTGGCAGTGAAAGACGGCGGTGGAAAGTATTGGCAGGTGGTGGTGGCGAGTGGTGGCGGCAGAAGACAGTGGTGGAAAGTGGTGGCAGGTTGCGGGTGATGGCGGCAAAAGACGGTGGTGGAGAGTGGTGGCAGGTGGTGGCAACGGAAGATGGTGATGGAAAGTGATGGCGGGTGGTAGTAGTGGCGGGTGGTGGCGAGTGTGACGGTAGCGGAAGACGGTGGTGGAAAGTGGTGGCAGGTGGCGGCGAAAGACGGTGGTAGAAAGTGGTGGCAGGCGGTGGCAGCGAAAGAAGGTGGTGGAAAGTGGTGGCGAGTGGTAGTGGCGGAAGATGGTGGTGGCGGGTGGTGGCGAGTGGTAGCGGCGGAAGACGGTGGTGGGTGGTGGCGGCGGAAGTCAGTGGTGGAGGGTGGTGGTGGGCGGTGATGGCGGAAGACGGTGGTGGAAAATGGTGGGAGGGTGGTGGTGGGTGGTGATGGCGGAAGACGGTGGTGGAAAATGGTGGCAGGTGGTGGCGAGTGGTGGGTGGTAAAAAAAAAAAAAACTTAAAACTGAAAACATAAACTCATTTTTTAAGTTTACAAATTTTTGCTAAATTTGTAAACTGAGACCACTGGTTTATAAATCAAAATATTTACCAAACAAGTTTTTATGATAATATTTAAAAATTTTGTAAATATAAATTGAAAACTGAAAACGTAAGTGTTACCAAACGCCACCTTAAAATTTAAATTCACAATTCTAAATTATAATATGTTAAGTTATTATTTACAAACACTTTTTCACCCCCTCTACCAAACAGGGCCTTGGCCTTTGTCCTCCTCAACTCAAGCAAGGAGGGTGAAACTAGTTTTCATCTTGAAAAAGGAGTGCCCTAGTTTTTGTCCTCAGGGAACGCCCTCCTCTGCCCCCCACGTGATTCTACACCAGTATTGTATGTTCTCTTCTCTGTCGCTAACATAGTGGCTGCCTACCCCCCCGAACTCCGCCGACGCTCTTCATAAAGGTTAAAGGTTTCTTCCTAGACGTAGCTCTTCACAATGTTTAAGGTTTTTTTTTTTATTTATTTTTTTTAAGTATAATCCTTATTTTTGGATTCCGTTCAACAAGTTTTCATCTCATTCGCTATTTTATTTATTTATTTATTTATTTTTTTCATACACGAGTGCTACACCCTGTGTCCAATCAAAAGAAACATTATAAAAATAAGATTGTTGCTACATCATAATTAACATTTTGTGATAGATGCTCAGGCAGATCAATCAATTGTTTTTTAATTTAATCCTGATATCAATTGGCTTATTTGTGAAATTGTTTAGAATTTCTACTGCAATGTTCATGGTGAGCCTTAAATCAAGAAAATCAAGTCATTGATTTCATAAGTGAGATTGTTTGTTAATTTCGTGCATATTAGTATGTTAATTTAAGATTTTGATTTTGTTCCAACAATTTATATTCGAATTGTAGGGTTTGATTTGTGCCCTGTTCAGTGAGTTGCCAGTGACAATGAAAGGTTGGAATCAAAGCAGCAAGAAGAAGCGCAACGGCAACGGCAACGGTGAAAAAAGCAAGATTAAGCAGAGTGCATGTATATGCCTGTTGTTTGAATTGCCGCTGCAAAAGCGTATCAATGTGTTGGCCATTGATACAAGTGAAGAACTTCGTATTTTTCCGCTAAGCCCACTGAAACATGCCAGTTCAACATCGCGAGTTGGTTTTGCCTCACTAGGGTCTAAAATTTTTGTACTTGGTGGTGACATTGATCGGGAAACTAGAAATTACCCCAGGGAAGTATATATTTGGGATTTCAATTGCAATGAGAAACAGTGGAAGAAGGGTCCTCCGTTGAACGCCAAGAAGCCAAATCCGGTTGTTGTTACTGTGAATAAAAAAATTTATGCCCTTGCCGGCGATTCCATATTTGACCGTAGAAAAACTGAGACAATAGGCCATGTGTTCGAGGTCCTTGATCCAGAACTTGGCAATGTTTGGACCCCTCTGCCCAATCCTCCATTCCATTCCTTATATAAGAAGTCTTCTGGCGTGGAATTTCGCGGGCACACAGTCATTGGCCTTAATATTTATGTGTTATTACTTCACTCATATAATCGTGTTACTTTGTATTCCTTTAATGTTATTGAAAACAAATGGAAGATGCATAATGGCGGTGACAGCAGTGGCGCTGCCTGTGCTGGATCAGATGATATGATACTCCATAATTTAAGTGTAGGCCCATGGTTCTTTGAGGCTGAGGTTGTAGACTATCTGTTGTATCAGACTATCTTTGATCAACCTGGAAAGGTCATGAAGGTGTATGCGTATGATTTGACTGCAGGACAGGAGGATGAAGAACAAGAGACTGAAGAAGAAGCTGAAACATTTGATGATGATCCTCTTCCAGATGATTATAGTTTGGTTACAGTTCCAATATTTGGGTTGAGTCATGTAACCGATACAGTCACTGCTTCAAAGTCGACTCTGGCGTTTGTGGTTCATCTTAGGAACAACGTGTTTTGCCTAGTTTGCATCTACACATCTTGCAATGCTGGAGGACGCGCTCGTCATGTTCGGGCATGCGTATTTCAAGTTGACTCAGTTGAATTGTTAGAAGGGACGGAGTTTACCAAACGCTATCTTGTAGCAGAAAATGTGACACAAGCTGACTGGATCATCGACTCAGGCCCAAAGTTGGGAATCTTTTCAGCAAGGTATCAATTTATTTGTATTTGTTGCTTTTTTGGCCTCTTTTATGACCATCACTTTTGCAGTTCTTATTAGTTTTATCACCTTTCTCATCCTTTGATTTCATGATTGCTGCTATTTTATTGTCATCTTCATGCCGTTGCATTTATTTCTTACCATGGAAAATTATTGCATGACATTATGATAGTACTAGAATATAAAAATTGGACTGCGGTTCTTAAGGAATTTCTCTAATTGCTTCGTGCTCGACTCACCATACTTGTCAACGATTGATTCATGGACAAGTGGACAAGATAGGACTATTTTATTCCGAGATAAATTATCCCATGTTTGGTTTAGATTTTGTGACCCCAAGTAACTTATTTGAGGGCCCTTCTACCCAGCATATGTGGGAGGTGGAACAACTTATCTCAGGATTAGTCTTTTGTCACAAAATAACTAAAACATCCTCATTGGGATAAGTTAAGGTATCCGGCCTAATCCTTTTTGCATACATAGCTCTATAGATTGAAAGTAATTTGGAACTTAGTTCCCCAATTGGCAAGATCTTCAGTAGTTTTTTTCTTAGTTTTATGGTTGAAGTTGTGCACACATTTTCTAATAGTTGTTGTTTGAATTAAGGTTTCGTTATATAGGATAGTCTGATATTTGTTTTGTTTGTTGGCTTCTTTGAAACAAATATTTATCATTTTTATTTTTAATTTGCGGATGCAATTTGGATGGGTTGAACTTTCAAGTCCATGCCATCTTTGTCAACATCTATTCTTGTATTGAAGTTTCTAGACTTGTGACTTGGTTTGTTGGAACCCCTAGCCTGACCAAAAGTTTGGGTTGGCCTTTGATGGGGCATAAGCTATCCAATTTGACCTCATTTGGTACTTGTAAATTTTTTATGTTTCAATTTTCAGTAAGACATTCAATGTTCGTGGCTTTGAAAGTTAATTGTACGCTTGTATACTTTACATGCTGAATGACAGTTAACAGTTCACGCATAATATGTTCTTTACTCATGTTATATTTTAAGTAGATCTTTGTAAGATATTACTGTCATTGTCTTAGTTTTCCTTAAATAACTTAACTTAAAAAAAAGAAGAAGCTTTTAAGAGCATATCGAAAACATATTTGCACATTGGATATGCATCTCTGACATAATAACCAGAGGTTGGCTTGAATGCTTGGTGTGCTTTTGGTGGGCTAAGTAGCTTTGTTAACAATGAATGAGTCTTAGTCTAGGACGAATCTAGAATTTTATTTTTGTGGTGGCAAGAACATGTTTATAAAAAAAATTACCACTAATAATACAAGCTATATTTATTAGACCAAAATAAAAATAGCAAGGGCATTTCTAAAAACAATGGTACCAACTAAATTTATAATGAAATAACAATAAAACGAAAAAAAATTGAAGCAATGACATTGAATTTATTTTTTATTTTTTTTCCAATTTATGTAATAGGAACTAGATGGATGACTGAATTCTAAGGCCCATGTTTTTTGGAGAAGGGGCGTGCAGATATACTATTTATGACAAATGCGTGGTTTGATTGTAGATGAAGCTATTGATGACCAAATCATGTTTAGAAAGGAGAGAGCCGAAAAATTCAAGCTATAAAAACAAAAGTTTATGTGACAACGAATTCAAAGCCCCAAGTTCTCTAAAGAAGGGGTAAGTGTGCAAATCTAGTATTCGAAGCCCAAATAAAACTAAACTATTGATGATTGGATTACTCAAAAATGGAGAGAGACTCATTCTCTCCTATGAATTAGAGAGAGAACATGAGGGATGGGGATGTCAGATGTGGTGTGTGAATGAAAGAGCCAAAGAGGAGAGGCTTTTTTGTGAGCCCATGTGATTCCTTACGTGTTTGTTTTTTTCCCCTTTTTATTTAAAATCCCCTAGAAGTAATGCTGGCAAAATGAAGTGAAAGAGTCACGGTGAAAGATTGAAAAAGGAAAATAAAATAATCCCATTTTCTTTTTAGAGAAAAAAGGAATGCAAAGAGAAAAAGAATCAAATTAGTGCATGTTGGTAGCTGCTCTTCTTGGAAGGAGGGGGGGAAGGGGAAATTCCTTATAAAAATTCTGAGCCTTGATGTGCACTATGCACCAAGGATTGGGGGTTGCCATGACCCCCTTTGGCCTAAGTGTGCCTTCATCCCCGGTCTTGGGGACCAAGATTGTGAAATAGCTACCATTATGTAACATAATGGTTGATAAATGAAAATTGTGCCAAGGTTGTACCCTTGATAGTCTACCATAGTAGACATAGACTGTAATCAGTGTAATGCTCATGTGTGAAGTCATAATGGTGGTAAGACGGTAGAATGGCTCTAGTTATGGCTAGTTCTGATACAAGAGAAAAAGAAGAAAAATTTAGAAAGGAGGAAGGAAATAATCTGAGCTAGTCATGCTTATAATTTGTCTTAGAGTTGTTGATCTTGTTCCTCTTCTTCATTTGTGCCAGGTGCGACAAAAACAATGTTTCTGTCTTTGGTGTTGCAAATCTATTTGCATAACTCCTATTATACTGTATCGGCAAACATGACTGTGATTTTGGCCCTGTTTGGTATTGCAGTGTATTTACTTTGGAAGCATTTTTGCTGCCCTTTATTTTCATTAGGGTGTGCTTGATTGCATCTTTAAAATATTTGATGTGTAGTTTTAGTCTCCGCATAACATTTCACTCAAAATCACTTCTTTAGAAGCCGTCACAACACCAAGCGAGATGTTAGAACCTTGTATCCAGCTCAATTTGCTTTAATTGAAAGGCTAATTTAATCTGACTTTCTATTAATGTTGTAGAAGGTATAGTGTTGCGTGGTGTGATGCCCTGATAATCTATAATTGTATCTTTTCAATCCAAGCAATTGTTTGAACTTCACATGTGAGAGATATCTACATTTGATTCTTTGCTTTATATATTTTTTGACAAAAAAAAGGGGCCAAATTGTTTGTTTAGAAGAACAACAGAGTAAGGAAATGTATTTAGGGTCGAGAATATGTGCTAAGAAAAAGAAGAAAGACAATGAAAGGAGAAAAAAAATTGAGAGGAACTCGTATCACATCTATATGAGTTTCAAGTGTCCTCTGTTGCAGGTGCAAAATCCCGAACAAAGGGCATCAGATCTATTTTCGACGACCTCGTGAGTACAGAATTTTCTTTTCTAACTATTACTTTGATCTATCAGTTGGGTAAATATCTTGTGAGTTTATGTTAATGCAGTCCTCCATTCACAGAATTTCAACATGAAGGAAAACCAAATACTTATCAAGATGGTGTAGCTGGTAAAGTTATTCAAAAAGGAAAAGGTAATCCTGTTCGAGAAATTAATACACAGATGAGCAGGGGAGACTAGTTAATCAACATGCTGTAGCAGGTATGGGAGGAACTGCGTTTCCATTCACGCACCCACATTTAGAGAGAGAGAGAGAGAGAGAGCATTAGCATAATGGTGGTAAACTTATCTATGATATAAAAAAGCTCACAATTTCAGTTTTTATTTAGCTGTTTTAAGTTAAAACTTCCTTGGTCTAGTTACTTCAATTCACATTTGTTGGTGTTTTCTTTTGCGAAATTAGTGATATGAATGTGTCAAGCCATAACAATGGTTTTGTTTTGTTTTGTTTTGTTTTGTTTCGTTTCTACATTTGGTAATTGACATCTATAGGCAATTGTTTGACTAAAAGTCGTAATTTAGATTTTAATTGATGGGGGAACCTATTATACTATACATGAATACATATCTTGAAATGTAAGTTTTGTTCTTGTATCTAGATAATTATTTTCTGAATGTGTGGTTACTTAGGGCATTGCTAACATTATTCTTTTTATATTAGTGAGTTGCTATCCTCACATTTTACTTATCTTATGGATTGAGAAGTTTATTCATTTAAGACAAATGCAGTATATAACAAATAGGCTTTTAAGGGACAAATTCATTTCGTCCCTGAAAGTGGGTAAAAGCTTTAGTCAATCAATTTAGCTCGTCGCGCGCTTAGTCCATAATAGGCTATTCGAAAAAGTCAAAAAATTGACTTTTAGTGACCAATTTTTGAATTCGTCACTGTAAATAAACTTTTAGGGACAAAATAATTTGGTGACAAAAAATTTTGGATATGTTTGGTTTGGATTTGTAGAAAATTTGTTTGGTTTGTAAATTTTTCAAAACAATTTCTAAAATCACTCTCTCTCTCTTACCTATCAATCAATCACTTTTTCTCTTTCCTCTCTCATTCTCAATCACTTTTTCTCTCACACAAATCTACTCAATTATAACAAAATATCAAATCATTCCAAACTCCAAAACTAATTTCAAAATACACAACCAAACAAACTAAAAAAAATTTTAAACTCTCTCTCTAAAACAATTTTTAAAAATTACTATCTCAAAATCAAACCAAACATACGTTTTTTGAGACAATTAAAATTTGTCTCTAAAAGTTTGTTAGAAATCAAATAATAAACTTTTAGGGACAAAGTTATGTGATTACAAAAAGTTTTAGTTTGTGAGACAACTAAAACTAGTTTTTAAAAGTTTTTTTTTGAGACAATTAAAATTAGTTTCTAAAAGTTCGTTAATATTTCATATCAATATAAAATATAATTGCGGGTTGCTAATGTATATATATATATATATATATTTTTTTTGCTTTTGTATTGGATAAATGCTTCAAACAATAAATATACATATACACATACGTAATAATCTTTTTATTTAAAAATTATTTTTACTATTTCACTGACTATTGAAAACAAACATCAAAATTAACTAACAACAATAATCCATGCAATACAATAGTAATTTTTTAAAATAACCACAACAAATTCAAAATTATTCTATTCTCAACATAACCGATCGAAATGCAATGAGATCTCCATGCAAAGGTTTATGAGAATATGTTGACACTGGAATAATAAGGCATCAATAATTTCACTCAGTAAAATCAGGGAGGAGAATGTTAAATGTTTTTATAGTGCATTGAAAATACCTACATCTTTCAGATCATTGAATCTCACACTCCAATTTACTTTAACATTGACAGACTTGCTTTCCTGTAGACAATCAGAAGCGAATGTAAGCTAATAATGGAACATGTTTTAGATATTAATACAACATACCTACTTAACGATGATGCAATTGAATCTGAAGAAGGGAAATTGCTAAAGCTGTTAGACTGTGGACTGCAACATTTCCTTACCATTCACAGACATAATATTATGATGCGTTTGTACATCAACTGCCATCAATTGCAGTTTTTATTTATTTATTTATTTATTTATTTATTTTTGTCACATGCCACAAAAATACATCTGAAAGTCAAATGAAAAACCTCCCAATTTTACCATCTAGTATTGGGAGAATATCTAGCGAGTTTAAACAAATTTTGATTCACTTGATTTGTTTAGAGTTAGCTGTAAAGCCAGAGCAGTTTGGATAGCTCTGATGACAAACGGATTAGGAGATCTTGAAATGCCTCTTCAGTTGTGAATTGAAAATAATTGCACAAGAAAACTCTATTGATGAGAACACCTTGTGGAACATACTTTTCATTGTTACTCTGGCAAAATTTGGAAGGATAAAAACAAATGTGTGAAATATTTTACTACCAGGGGAGTGGGAAACTCATCCTAGAGTATGCTCATGTGATTCAAGAAACTTTCCAGTGCTCTATATCCTTGTAACCCTCATTTCCAAATGATTAAGATAGAAAAACAGAGATGATAGGGATACCTTTTTCAATTCAGCTTCAAGTTCATCTATTTGTTTCTCGAGTCCTGCAACCTCAGTTGCTAATTCCTAGAAATTGACACAGACACAACTTTCACATTCACCTCATAAATAAATGGAACACCAAATAAATAAATCTTGCATGCTTGAAGCAAGCATGGCTTCACCTCATTTATACCAGTGTTAAAAGAGATTTTCCTAAGGTGTTTAAAACCTCATCATATTGCACTTTTCTCTAGGCCTTTGAGCTAGTAGTGTGGAGGACTTCCAACTTCCTCTGATTGATCTTATTCTTGCCACATCTCACCTATATGAGGTGCAATAGAAGCATAAATACAATACATAATGTTGAACAATGGATATCAAACAACACTAGGGAAAATGTAAAGGCGGATTCTTGATTATGCCAGTGATATTGACTTGTAGAAAAGTCACCTAAAATTACCAAAAGTGAGCACTACAGCAAAGTTGAACCCAATCAAGTCCTGTTAATTTGAGCACTATAGCAATCTAAATCCCTAATTGTATGAACCCGGCCTATTCGCAAGAATGAGTTTGTTCGATGTTTCGGTAGATTGAGATAGGGATGTGGCAATGTCATGCCAACCCATGCGTGAGTGGAAGATGTTAGAAATCAGGTCGAGTTTCAGACTCGGGTTTGGGTGCCCATGGTGACATGACCCATTATGAGACCTATGAGATTTGAATTACCTTATCTAGAGGATAAGAGTGGATTACATATTCAGATATATTATATATATCTGATATGTATTATGTAATTTGGATTTAACTGAATATTCCTCTAACTTTCTCTCTCTTGATCTTTGTTGTGGGACAGGAGAACAACCATGCCTTTGTACTATCAATAATGTGGGTAGTTTTCTAATAGTTCTACTCCATTGCTGGAAATTGTTCGAATTCATCATGGGGTACGTGATTCACCCACATGGTTCATGGACTTGGTTTGAATGTAAAAAGTATGCTTGAATCTATTTATTTCTGTTGTGTATTATTTATGTTTTTCCTACAAGACCAAAATCCAATTGAACATGACTCCTTGCCTTCTGCTGGTTATGGAATTCTTGGTTCCACTAAATGGTTTCAAAGTCGTCATTCACAGAGTTGCTTCAGTTAGTATTTGAACATTTATTTATTGAGGAAATGCATAATCTCTTTTTTGGGGGGTAATTCTTATATTGTCTTTTGGACATTATCCTTTGCAGAGTTCAATGGAACGCTCCCACAATTCTCAAGAAAAAAGGGAATAAGCCAAGAAATCTAATAATTAAGGATTTTAAGATATTGGCAGGCCCAATTTATTGTCCATGGTTTTTCAGCTTTTGTGAATTGTAAAAATCTATTGAGAGTGTGTTTAATTTCAGTTTTTTGAAAATTGTGTTTTGTGTTTTTCATATTTTTCTATTTTTAGTGAATATTTTTAAAATTCTAAGCAATTTTTTTACTTTTTTAGATGCACCTTATTTGGATGTATCTAAATAGTAAAATATTTGTGAAAAAATATTTTAAAAAATAATAAATATACAAAAATACAAAAAATGTATTGAATTTTCGTATTTTTTTTAATTATATTTTTTGGTATTTAATATATTTTTTAAAGATTTTTTTCACAAATATGTGTATTTATGTTGGGTGTGCCTAAAAATTAAAAAACATTGCTTAAAATATCAAAAAAAAATCATTGAAAACATTAAAATATGAAAAATAAAAAAGTAGAATTTTCTGAAAACTAGAACCAAACAAGTTGAATCAACAGTATGCATTGACCTTGTGTGGTGGGAGTTGTTTATTTCATGTGTGCAAGAGTGGCATTGATAAATTTTGTTTCCTGATAAAAAAAATAAATAACAGTAAATACAAGGAGGGGAGTTAAGGTGGATCTCGAAAAAATGATGTTATGATTTATAGTGTCTTTGTTATGACACTTAGGTGAATATTATGACATTGTTATGATTCATTGTAGTATTGTTATGATATTTGAAACAAAGTTATGATTCTTTCTATAACCTGTTACATGACCGGTTTAGAAGGTCACTTTTTGTGATGTGGCACGATATGGACCACACAATAAGTGCATATTATATGCCCTTTTATAAGGTGCACATTGTAGACTTTCCCTATATATATATACACATTTTTGGCTTTTGTATTGGATAAATGCTTCAAACAATAAATA